AATGTCTAAATTATTAAATTTCTAAATTACTAAATGTCTAAATTTCCATCTGTCTCACATCTAAATGTCCAAATTTCGATATGTTTGCAGTTCCAAATGTCTACATGTCTAAATCTCTAAGTTTCGAAATTTCTACTCTATGTTCTTACTCAATGTCTTCAGAACTAGATATCTAAATTTCCAAATCTCTACATTCCTAAATGTGTAAATTGCTAAATGTCTGAATTCCAACACGTCTGAATTCCTAACCGTCTAAATTTCCAAGTCTCTGCATTTCTTAATGTCCAAATTTCTTAATGTCTACGTTTCCAAATGTCTACATTCGCAAAGGTCAAAATTTCTAAATGTCTAAATTGCAAAATGCCTAAATTTCCAAATGTCCAAATTACTAAATGTCTAAATTGCTAAACGTCTAAATTGCTGAATATCTAAATTTAAAAATCTCTACATTTCTAAATGTCTAAATTGCTAAATGTCTACACTTCCATCTGTCTCATATGTAAATATTAAAATTTTGATATGTCTACAGTTCCAAATCTCTACATTTCTAAATTGCTAAATTTCCAAATCTGTACATTTCGAAATGTCTAATTGGCTAAATGTCTAGATTGCTAAATTTCCAAATCTGTACGTTTCGAAATGTCTACAGTTCTAAATGTCTAGATTGCTAAATGTCCAAATTTTCAAACGTCTACAGTTCTAAATGTCTAAATTTCTGAATGTCTGAATCTCTAAATGTCTACATTTCCTAGTCTCTGAACTTCTAACTGGCTAACTTTATAAACTTCTACGCATAGAAATTCCTAAATGTCTATACGTCTAGATTTGTAAAGCACTGAATTTCTAAACGTGTGAATTTCTTAACTTCCACGAATTTTAATTCCTAGATGTAAATAGTTCCGAATGTCTAAGTTTCCAAATCTTTAAATTTCTAAACGTGTAAATTTTTAAATCGTTAAATTTCCAAATGTCTAATTTTATAAACTTCTACGGCTCGAAACACCTAAATGTCTATAGTTCTAAATTTCAAAATGTCTAAATTTCTAACCCTCTACGGATGGAAATTTCTAAATGTCTAAATTTGTAAATCTATACATCTCGAAATGTCTAAATTTCTAAACGCCTAAATTTCCAAATGTCTAAGCTTCTGAAGGTCTAGATTTCTAAATGTCGAAATTTCTAAATGTCTAATTTTACAAACTTCTACGGTGTGAAATTCTTCCTGTCAATGGTGCTGAATTTCTAAATGTCGAAATTTCCAAATGTCTAAACTTCTGAACGCCTAGATTTCCAAATGTCTAGATTTCTGAATGTGTAATTTTATAAACTTCTACGGATAGAAATTCCTAAATGTCTTTACGTCTAAATTTCTAAATGTCGAAATTTTAAAATGTCCGAATTTCTAATTGCCAAAATTTCTAAATGTCTCAATCTTTAAACTCCTACGGATGGAAATCTCTAAATGTCAATAGGTCTAGATTTCAAAACAACTAAATTTCTAAATATTTAAATTTTTAAACGTCTCAATTTCTAAATGTGTAAATTTCTTAACTTCTAGCAATCGAAATTCCTAAATGTAAATAGGTCTTAATTTCAAAGTGTCTAAATTCCTAAGTGTCTAAGTTTGCAAATGTCTAAACTTCTAAATGTCTACATCTTTAAATTTGTAATTGTGTAAATTTCTAACTATCCAAATTTCTAAAGTTTTACGCGTGGTGATTCCAAAATGTCTCTAGTTCTCAATTTCAAAATGTCCAAACTTCTGAATGTCTAAATTCCTAAATGTCCAAATTCATAAACTTCTACCTACAGAAATTTCTAAATGTCGAAATTTCTAACCGTTTTAAGTTCAAAATGTCGAAATTAATAATTGCCTAAATTTCTAAACGTCTACGGATGGAAATTCCTAAATGTTTATAGTTCTTAACGTATAAACTTCTACCAATCGAAATTCCTAAATGTAAATAGTTCTAAATTTCAAAGTGTCTAAATTCTTAAGTGTCTGAATTTCTAAATGTCCAAATTCATAAACTTCCACGTATAAAAATTCCTAAATGTCTAAATTTCAGAATGTCTAAACTTCTAAATCTCTAAATTTCTAAATGTCTAAGTTTCTAAACTTCTACGGGTCGAAATTTCTAAATGTCTATAGGTCTAAGAACTATAAACATTTAGGAATTTCCATCCGTAGACGTTTAGAAATTTAGACATTTGGAAATTTAGACATTAAGAATTTCTACCCGTAGAGGTTTAGATATTTAGAAATTGAGACATTTTGAAATTTGGAACTATAGACATCTTGGAACTTCTATACGTAGAAGTTTATAAAATTAGACATTTAGATGTTTAGAACTACATGCATTTTGGAACTTCTATCTGTAGAAGTTTAGAAATTTCGACATTCTGAAATTTATAACTACAGACATTTAGAAACTTGGACATTTAGAAATTTAAAACTACACACATTTATGAATTTAGACATTCTGAAATTTAGAACTACAGACATCTAGGAACTTCCAACCGTAGAAGTTTAGTAATTTAGACATTTAGAAACTTGGACATTGAGAAATTTAGAACTATACACAGTTATGAATTTAGACATTTTGAAATTTGGACATTTAGAGATTTAGGCATTCAGAAATTTAGTCATTCGAAAATTTAGACTTCTTGAAATTTAGACATTTGGAAATTTAGACGTTCAAAAGCTGAGACATTTTGAAATGTAGACGGTTAGAGATTTAGACATTTGAAAATTTAGAACTATAGACATTTGGGAATTTCTATTTGTTGAAGTTTATAAAATTAGACATTTAGAGATTTAGACATTTAGTAATTTAGACTTTAGAAAAGTTAGACACCAGGTTTCCAAAAAAATTGTATGTTCGATTTTCGACGTGAAGCTTTGCCCAGATGAAGACCTCACTTAGACTAGCTTGCATATAAAATTTCAGCATTTTTCAACGAAGTCTCTTCGAGATATGAATTTTTTAAGATACTGCGCTTTTCTATAAACACTGTATAAAATATGCATGTTTTGAAAAATTCATATCTCGAAGAGACTTCATTGAAAAATGCTGAAATTTTATATGCAAGCTAGTCTAAGTGAGGTCTTCATGTGGGCAAAGCTTCAGGTCGAAAATCGAAAATACAATTTTTTTGGAAACCTGGGGTCCTAGAGGGAAAATTCCCTAAAAATTAGATATCTCGGAAACAAAGGCACGAAGGCATGAATCATTTTGGGATTTTTCATACCTCATCGAGGTCTAGTTATGGCCGAAAGATGGAGTCAAAACAGCTTGGACATGTAAATATGTTCCCTCGTAAGCAGGCGTTTCTTCTCGAGTCCATAAGAAATAAATTGTCTTAACTGGAATGATTGGTGTGCGCCGTCTGAAGGTTTTAAATTGTAAATGGAAAACGTCCTTAGTTACTCCCATTCACAAGAAAGGGCCTGTTGGTTCTGTTGATAACTATAGGCCAATTTCTCTTTTGAATATCGATATATTTGAGAAACTCATCCACAGTGAACTTCTTGATCATCTCTTGACTAACCAATTCTTGTCTGCTAACCAGTTCGGTTTTAGACCAAATGCTTCGACCACCGATGCTTTGCTATTTGTCGCGAACAGATTATTCGACAATGCTTCTAATAATAAAATAAGTATTGGTGTGAATATCGACCTAGCTAAGGCTTTCGATCGCGTACCGCACTTCGTCTTACTACAAAAACTAAAATCCGTCGGTGTAGACGATAAACTTCTCAATTGGTTTATATCTTATCTAAAGGGTCGCTCACAATATGTAAAGATAGGCACTACCCTTTCTAACGTAGTATATATCCTTTCTGGTGTGCCTCAGGGGTCTATTTTGGGACCCCTGCTCTGCCTCATTTTTATCAATGATCTGTCTCCGCCTACTTCGTCATTAGTACTGTATAGTTTGTTTGCTGATGACCTGTATTTGATCTGTACCTTCGCTAAACAGAATAGTTTAACAACGGTCAAGCAGTTTGTTCAAAACGAAATTGATCGTATTACTAACTGGTGTGATTGCAATTTTATGTCCTTAAGTTCTGACAAGTGTCATTGGACATGTTTCTCTTTGTCTGCTAACCCTTCTACCACTCTCAGTTTTAGCATCAACGGAGAATCTCTCAAATATGAAAAGACGCCCAAAGTTTTGGGTTTGTATTTTTCACACGATCTAAGCTGGAAACCTCACTTTAAAATAACTGCTTTAGCTTGTCGCCGCATGTTAGGTGCCATAAACAGAACATTTGCTGAAGCTTCGGCTTTTCTGCGTCTTCACCTTTACAAAACTTGTGTTTTGGCTAAACTGGACTATGGCAGCGCGGTTTTCGACACTAAATTTATTACTCACACACAACCCTTTGAGTCTGTTCAAAAACTTGCAGCGAGATTGATAACTCGACACTTCGATTATACCACTGATAGTGTTCAAACTTGCCAATGGTTCAGGCCTTCTAAATTGACTATTCGCCATCTCTACTTTCGTCTAGTCAACTACTATCGTGTTTTCCATCGTTTATGCACTTTAAATCGTTCATTATGCAAATACCAGCAGTATTAGGAGATCTGAGAGACTTAATGTTAATCTGAATCCTTTCCAGGTCGTTGTACCGTTTACCACTCTAACTAACATTCAGTATTCCTTTTTCTATTCTACTTCTTCTGATTGGAATAATCTACCATCGTATATTGCTTCAGCATCTACTATGAAAACTTTTAAAAGCAATTTAAAATTGTACTTGAATTTATTCCCATCTATTATCTACATATGTGTTATTTTTCTATCGGGTGTATGTCTACTACAACTCTTTTGTTGTTGTTGTTACAAGCCCTCATGCTTTTTGATGTACCTCCTTTGCCACAATGTAACATCTTTTAATTTGTTGCAATAAATATAAAAGAAAAGAAAAAGAATAAATAATGGGAAAAATTGATCTAATATTACAACTGAGTACATAAACCGAAAATATCCTATGGCTCAGCATAGCTTTTATCGTTTGTTAAATAATGCAACACATATTGATATAGATTTCCCTTATACCACGAATATTCTTGCATGTAGCTCGCTGCATTTAAAGTCAATTCGATGATATTACGTACACGTAGTTCAATTGCAAATGCTCTTGGCTGTGATGCTAGTAGCCCTATAGCATTATAGATGCAATTTCCATTACCATATGTAAATAAAGCTATAAGTCCGACATAATTGGTGTCCGTGAATAATTTTTCTACATTCGAATCATTCCACATATCTTCGCAATATGATACATGGAGTTGACCTATTGGATCTAGTTCATGAACTATCGGGTCGAATTCTATCGCTGCATTGAACTCGAATGGAAATTGCTGAAGAATAGGAACAAGTTTTCTACATAAAATGGTACCCTCAATGCCACGCGTTCTCTTAATACAGTGAGGCTCACGTACTTTTGGCGTGTAATACTGATTCAATTTTTCACAAATTATTTTATCTACGTACCTATTGGGATAACCGTTGTGACCAGCAATTTCCCTAATTTTCTCAAATTCTTCATCAAGCAACTTGCATGACGAACATATACGAGTGGCTCTGTACACCATTGTCCCTATAGCATTACGTTTATATATATCAGGTACATACGAGTCCCATCGAGTGAGGAGACTAGTAAAGGTAGGTTTTCTATAAACTTTTGTGCTAAAGCCTGGGCTTGAACGAGTTATTTGTACATCTAAAAATGGTATAATATTATTCTCATCCTCTGACTCGAACATAAAAGCCAATGATAGATGGAAGCTAGATAATAAAACAGCTATTATATAGGGATCGACATGTTTCTCCAAAAGAGCAAAAGTGTCATCCACATAATGACACCAAAATCTTACTCCATTCTGTCTAATTGATGCAGGATTCTTTTCCTCAAAGTCTGTCATAAAGAGCTCAGCCATTAACGGCGCATTGGGAGCATCCATAGAAACTCCATCTATTTGATCGTACAGCTTTCCTCCAAGGTTCAGCTTAATGGTTACTGATCGTTCGGTACCACTGTACGTGTATTCTGAAGGGGTAAAATCAAATCTCTGGGATAGAAAAAGAATTCCTAGGAAAGGTGTTGGAGGCTAGTACAGTATTATCTCTCTCATATACTTCAATTCAATAGCTTTTCTCTTTATATGACTCAACACTAGCGCTTTAAAATTTCGTTTCAATTTCAACCTATTCTCTATATAGAAAATATACAAGTAACAATATTCTCCATATATCATAATCTCGTTCTCTTTCTTTCTTCTCTCCTCGTCATGCACATGGAATTCCAGTCTTCTTTGTAATGTGTGTACCTAGATTAGAAAAACACTAGATATATATATATATAATCAGTTATTTTTGTTTTCAATTTTTATGTAACATCCTGTACGAAGAGAAACTTGTAAATGACCGTATTAATAGATCGAAATATCGAATTATAATTTTAATGTTTTAGATTTAATTGTTTAATTTTTTATTATTTTATTAAAACCTTTTATTAAAACTCTTAACATGATAGCCGCATTGGTTTTAAAATTTTTATTCTTAACTTTGCCCATAAACTCGAAAAACATAAGCTACAATGCCGGTAATGGATGAGTAGTTATTATTCACCAGTTGACATTCTTATTCATTGATTATTAAGTGCTCTGCTTCAAAAAGATATTGACTATGGATAATAGCAGCCTGTAACTATTTTCATTTATATTTTACATACATTATCTCTCACTAACAAGACCCAAACGGAAAGCCGGAAAGTCATGGTACTTTAGAAAGTTCTTTGAAAACTCATTTAGCTTAAAATAAACACTCATAATGGAATTAGTGTATACTGTGGCAACTTCCCAGATTAGAAAGTCCTCTATTTACACTGTTCCTTTATCCCAAAACGACTTTAAGTACACAAAAACGAACTTTTGAAAATTGCACGAACCTTGTTGAATTTTCATGTCAACTTTCACAATCCGCGTACGCGTACTATTCCAGTTATATGAAACGGAACAATATAAATGAAATGCAAGTAAAACCGTTGTATAATGTTTGTTTAAAAACAGAATTTCTGCTACTACTATTTTACGGGCCTGCATGAAGGAATTATTTTGCAGCACGTGATGTTCTCTCAGTAGTACTTCCATTTTATCGCTTCCGAGGTTATTACTTATTCAAAATTTTGATTTACCTTATGTTTGATTTACCTTATTTATTTGGCTAATACTTACCTTCGAAAGACGTAAGAAAAAATCACTCAAGGCTTTTATAAAAACCATGTCTTCCTGTGTGTATTCAATCGTGAAACCAATTCAGTACTAGTAGGATGAATTTTATTTTGTTACTGTTCTATTCTTCTATGAAATATTTTCTTTCTCTACCACTATATTTCAATATTGCTTGCATCGTATCCATCCTCCTTCCCTCCGTTTTCCTCCTAAATAAAATTTTCTCCTTCTTTCATAATGGTATCGTATTGTAGTTGACTAAGGGTATAACGAGCTCATAGAATACATATAGAATTACAAGCACGGAAAATTAATATTTGTACTTTCCCCTAACTTACCTTCGAAAGACGTACTTCCTTTATGATGGGGTTCTTTCCAAGACTGTAGGCATTAAGTGTAGAAACGTATATATATATGCGTATATAAAATGAAATATATGCACACGATGATGCTGTAGATATTTAACGCAGATATTGGAAGGAAAGAAACCTTGACTGCAATAGTATACAAATGGCATCATCTACCTCGACTTCTGATGGTGGACAGAATTCAACAGTTAACACTACCCAAACTCAGCCGCAAGCGAACTTCGATACGTCGTTGGCTTCACTACGACGACACATCATGGAGGGAAACTTCAATAAAGCAATTGTCGAAGTCGAAAAGTTGGGCCTCATGAATGAAGATTTATCCCATACGCCACGACTGGCAATTCAAGTCGTCGACCCGCCACCTGAAGCCGCCGATCCGCCAACTGTTCGCAGATGAGTGATTATCATTAACAAGAAAAGTAGTCGAATTGATTATTAAGACAAAATATGGAAAGATTATTAGTAATCAGGAGAAATAATTATTCAACCGTGTCCTATAGGAGGATTGGGAAACTCGGTTTCATAATGTTATCTTATTGTAGTTGACTAATTCGCAGAATTTATCAGTTTCCACCTTTCATCAATATATCAGTCTTACGTGAGTCTTACCTACTAACAATTATACCGTAGGATTTTTTAAAGTTCCGGTATGCGAATTCATCAGTTTAATTGTTTCTTCGTCATTTTTCATTCGACACCTTGAGCAATGTTTCACTGCAAAGGAAATTATATTCTAAGTGAAATTCATTACTTTTCAACTTCTCAAAAGCGGAAGTTCTACTTAAAAAACTAAATTTTCAAAATGTTCCAAAATTAAGAGAAATTCTTCGAGTACGATGTAATATAATGGTTTCTCTCTCTCTCTTTTGTTATTTCATATATTTCGTTTTTAGTTCACATGTACTTTTTTCTTTGCTCAAGTGGACGGATCTCCTTTCTTCTCTATTTATAAACTAGTCTGTCTGTGAAGATTTTGTTTTACTCTTTTTCATTTTTATATATATTCAAACTGTTTCATTGTTATATTCATTCTGCTTATAATAAATACATATTAAAGAGATACAATATCGCTTTCATACCCATTGACACAGGTTGGTGATTTCTCTCTCGCAGCAGATTTTGTTTAGCTTCTCCAGAACCCACTAGACACTGGTCTCGGCTTATTCATAGAGGCGTGGGACTGATCTCATTTCTCGTGATTACTAGTCGTTTTCAGCATCAGAGAGCTAACAGTGGCAAACAGCCTTTTTTCCAAAAATTTCCAAAAACCTAGTGAAAGCCTATATTACATGAAATAACCCATTTTGCCTATCTCGGATTAAAATTCAAAAATTCGTAACTCAGTCATGGTCCATCCAAATTCCGCCAGAATATTAAGATATACCCTATTGTAGGTACATTATATCATGGAGTTTAATAAAAGTTTTAAAAATCAACAGAAAATACTTTGGTTCTTGAGAAGATTTTCTAGAAATCTTCCGCAGTAAAAGAACAGTGTTTACTATTCTCAAGTAAAAAGCCATATTGAACAGAGAAATTGAAGTATATCTTGACATTATGACGTAATTTAGATGGGCCATGACTGAGTTATGAATTTTTAATTTTAATCCAAAATAGGCAAAATTGGTTATTTCACGTAATATAGGCTTCCACCAGGTTTTTGGAAATTTTTCGAAAAACAAATGTTGCCACAAGATTGAGGGTGCCCGATTATCTGTATTTCCATTCATTTTCGAGACTATCACATCTAAAGAAATATTGATTCTGGGGCTTTAATAACGATATATCTATATGTCCACTTCAAACGATGATAACGTGTGTATATTGAATGTAGTATTCAAGTATCCAACAAGACGAAAATGGAGACAAAAAAAGACGTGTTGATGGAAAAACATAACTAAATAAACTGAACTAAACAACTGTACACACATACTATATATATGTGACAGTGGAAATTGGAATTCAGGGGAATTCGGAATTCCACTAGTGCTAATTGGAATTCTAATCTGCACTAGTGCAAATTACAATAAAGTGACTATTCTAATTTCAACTAGTGGAAATTGGGATTCTATTTTCCACTATAGGGGAATTCGGAATTCCACTAGAAAAAAAATCATACAGATTTTATATCATGGACAGACGTCCATGATGCCCAACTCGTTCATGGGATTCTTTTAGTTTTGAATACATTTGTTCGTACGTTACCACCGGATGATTATTTTTTGCACCATAAACAATTTGTTGTTCCCCGATTGTAACTAATTTGAAATTGGAATTTGCCCAGAATTTAAAATTTGGTGAACCCCATCCCTCTTTCAATGTTAATACAATATCTTCATACATTGCTTGTTTAATTACAAATTTATTACGAAATTTTTCATTCATATTTTGAATATGAGCATCGAGCTTTTCATAGAAGAGTTCCATTAAGAAAAAGATTTATTCACGTACGTACACGAAATTGAAACTTTCT